GGTCCAGCCTACATGTGCTGGGGCTAACTGGAGGACCCTGGAGCCAAACAGACACAGCCTGGGCTTGAGGGATGTAAATACGGAAAATGAGTGGGCAGTGAAACCATCATGGCATGTGTTATCCTAACACTTCCCCTAATGTCCCAAACACAGGGACACAGAGCACACACAAAACACACTTTACATGGAAGTAAACCAAAGTGAGTTGGCCTAATATACATCAGTTAGTCTAAGATAATTATAGTGTTCTTAAAATAGTTCGCTATCTGTGTTTTTTAATTTTTGTTTTACTTTTATGTATGCACCACGACACCATGCAAATTCCTCGTACGTGTCAACCTACCTGGTAATAAACCTGTTTCTGATTCTGATAAACAGTTAGCACATTTAAGAGCAATTCAGTGATAAGCATTCTTGACAGGCAATACAGTGCTTGAACTTGTAACAGTCAAGATTCAATTAAAAAAAAAACACACTGCACAGAATTCAGAATAAGGCTTTCCAATCAATGTCCAGTTTGAAGCAAATAAAGACATGACTCCAAGAACTCAGCCATCACGGACCCAGACACACGTCAACCACAATCAGTGCTAAATCATTATTCACACCTCTGATATTGTTGCTGTAATTCACACAGACTGTCTGTGCGGTGTTGCAGTGTATCGTGATCATTGTGGTTTGGTCTTTGTGAATCGCCTCTACACTCTGAAATCCCTACTGACATACACAGGTTACTTTAACCCTGAAGAAATGAATGACGGACGCACTGAATCTGTGAGAAAAGGGGTCATCAGAGGGGGGGGGGGGGGGGGGCTGCCCTCAAGCTCGGAAGTGCTAACCAGAATGATCTAATAGTAACCTGTATGTGTGAAATGTGTGCACTGTGCTATGACCAACATTCAGCATATATGTTTGTGGTCAGTATTGAGAAGAAGGCTACATGCAGGTGCTCACACTGTCTACTTGTATGTGAAAGATCATCTTGCTTCATAGCAAATCAGAAGAAGCCAATACACCTTTATATAATAAAACTTCAGAGGGAGAGCAGAGGCCCTGTTTTACAAAGCGTACATCCAAGGAGAGCTGTCAGTCACTATCATCTAATGGCTTCATTGATCACAATAGACCAAATGCATGAAAACAATTATATTGCATTTGATTTGTTAATCAAAGTGATCTGTTGCAATGTTGGTACTGAAACCAGAAAATAATTTGGAACAATCAAGCAACCTTAAAAAGCCACTATAGATAGCACAGTGACAGTTCAAGAGATTACAATACGTTTGAGTTATTTCAACATACTTAACATCAATCTAATATATATAACTTTTGGTATATCAATTTACTATCTCATTTGCTAAGTCACACACCTCTTTTATTTTAACCAGTTAAGCCCTGAGCCTGTTTTTCAGGTTTCAGGCTCGAAAATGACATGCCCAGAACAAATGACTATAACTTCACTTCTAAAAGGGTTAAATTAATAATCTTTTTTCTCAAAGCAAGGTTACATCTGTGAGTTGGATGTAGAAGTGTCAGAATCAATATAGATGTTTCTGTGTCAGAGTAAATTCAGATGGAACATAGTAAAAAAAAAAGGTAAATTCTTACCTCTGCCTAAAAAAAAAACATTACTTATAGTGAAAACCACCCTTGAATGATGGGATGGTAGACTAAAAGCTTTAGGAATCCAAACTACAACATATAATAAGTACCCTGTATCAAGAGTGATGCAAAACAAGTGACATTTGACCTTTTTAGAGAGATTTATAAAAATAAAAATAATATGAAATCTCCGTTTTTTACATAAAAATGCAATGATGGATTATCAGTAATCCTTTCAAAGTGACACAGACACATTGGATTAACCTATGGATTAACCTTCAGCGGCGTTTTTATCATTTTAATGCCATTGAACACGACTATTGATCAGAATAACAGCTCATTTGAGATGATTTCCCGTGAATGTTCCGTAATTCACGTGTTGTGACGTCTGTGTTTGCTTCCCCTGTCACGAGTTCTGAAAGCTCAGTCATGATACTTATACCTATAGAATCTGTGGAATCTCAGCTTTAATTTGATATCTTGTTTTTGCAGTTACGATAAGTAATAAGGGTATGTTTACCTTGAGTTCTGTGGTAAGTGTGTTAGCCTTTTTTCGCTCAGGGCTCATTTAGACGCTTCTTGCTGAGTTTCTTCCCGTTAAATGGGTATGACACATTAATACGTTTTTAAATATTAAGAAGCCCTGAGACACAGTTTCGTGAAAAAACACCCCACTGCCCCCTGTACAGGGCGCTCTAGGGCTATATTCACATTTCTGGTGACCTTGCCGTTATCAGGGTGGAAAAGGAAAACTATTATAACTTGCACTTGTAAACACTTCTGTGATATTTATTGTTTAATCAATGTACAGTATTGAGAGGAGTGAACCCCTTTAACCAAATTATGAAATCACCTATATGTACAGGATTGGCATATACTAACCAGTCAAGTGACAAACATTTCCACTCCAATACATTTGACATGCTGTGGGATTATGTGTGCAATTGAACAGAGAACACTGAGCAGCATGCACTTCAAAGCAAACACTGAAGGCTGAAAGTTAAGCTCTTTATTAGCCAACCAACACATTATCCAGCAGTGTGTGGGAATAGTTGCCACAGAGCAAAAGCCTATACAAATCGCTGGCTCTAATGGTTCATGGATATAACGTCACTACCCAAGCAAAACGATCTGGTGCTGCGCGTTATATTGATACTTGTACAGACTTGTGAGTAGACAAGTTTACCAGAATGCAAAAAATATAAATCCATACATAAAAAACAATTGCACCACATGAAACAACACACATGCTACAAGGTTACTAAAACAATCATTTTAAAGGCTAAAGGTTCAAATAAAACCTGACTTAAAAAAGACTACAACAAATCTTATCCTCAATGTTGAAGTGTCTTATTAAAATAGTATAATCAGTATTTTCATCAGAAAGAAATGTGTTGTATTAAGAAGCGAGGAGTATACCATACTACTGCTTAACAAATGTGTGATAAATGCACTCAGATCTCAAAGTGTGTGTATGTGTGTATTTTTGTGTGAGTGTGAAGATGCCCCTTGAGAGCTCCAAAACAGGGCTAATGAAGCTAGGCAGGCCGCTAAATCTCAACTGCAGAATGATTACTGAGCTTAGTTTAGGAAACACCCCACTGGTGCATCAGCAGACCAAACTGTATAAACCACAGAGGGTCAGGGCCTACAAGAAAAAGGCTGAGGGGAAAGCGTCACATGCAAAACAGATACATCTCAATTTACCAGACCGGCACCCAAAGTTACTTTTTATGGTTTAAGTAAAAAGCCAATCAAGTACTTATTCGACAGGACATTTATTTATATAAAAAAAACATTTTAAATGTCAAGAATTCACTGGTTACACACTCTCAAAGCCTAGAGCTGAAACATGTCTGCTTCCTCTGCTGCTTTGCATTACTACAATAAATCAATGTTAAAAAAGCGGTTTTCTAACCCCTGACAACTGGGCCATAAAGCACAATATAATAAAAGGCAAAATGTCTAATTTTACATAATCTCACCAATATATCACCTAGAAAGATGAATGAAATACTGTAAGAATGATGTGTTATGTATTCTGCTCACATACTTAAGACTGTGTTGTGTTATGAGCTGTCCTCTTCAGTTATAATTTAAACTGGTTAGTGTGCTACTGATGTCCATTTCCCAGGATCAAAAACAAACCATGCAGTGTAATTACTGCTCAAAAGCTGTGTCAGTGGTTCACACAGGATAAAAGCAACATCATCACAAGGTAGTCTCTTTTCTGTTTCTAGAATAACAGGTATCGAACAAGACGCATAACCAAAGCACTTCAGTGAATCCCAAAGGAATCTGCCTTTCGTGTTTTATTAGATGTCGCATAGCATGTCTTTGAAGACATTTAGTTTGAAGTATTGTTTGTTGGGCCCCATCAGTGTCTTTCCCTAAAATGTAAGTGGACTAATACAAAATGAAAAACCTTATACTGGTTTACCATTATCACACTAAACACAACAAACATAAGCCTAGTTGTTGAAAGTTATGTGTTAGATTTAACAGCAGCAATCTAACTTTGCAACTTCTCAAGGACAGATCACTTGCAGACATTTCAGAAAAGCTGTGCATTCTGCAATATCACTGTCCCAGCGAGTGAAAGGACACACCAGCCCATGAATCTGCCTTTTTTCTGCTTGTTACAGAGCATTCAACAGCTTACTGCACCAAACTCAGCCCCTGCAGCCTGCCTCTCCTGTGCTCTCCTCTTGGACCAGAGCCCATGGCGCACGCATACGCACGCGCACACACACACACACACACACACACACACACACACACACACACAGAGAGAGATACTGACCCACAAGAGCCAGCCTCAGCATGAACACCCACACACAAACACTTATTTAAAATGACACAGTAACACATTGTGGCTGTGTTAACTGCAACGATTGGAACTGCAGCAGTGGGGCAGGTAAGGTGAAAATGAATCGAACATCCTGTGTGAATGCGCATGTGTATTTCTGCACAAGTCTTTCACCCCGACTATTTTAAGGTGGTTCTTTATAAATCCTACAGCCTGGCCAAGTCGTTGGCAAGAATTCAAAAGGATAGAGCATGCATAAAACATGACAGACATTCAGACAGAGGAGAGGCAGAAGAGAGAGAGCAAAATACATGCCAGTGTAATAAGGTATGCAAAGACTGTTTTCAATGCAGCAACCGCACTGACAGCTCTGAGAGATCTGGAGTGGTAGAAATGCTAACACGCTAGCATAGTGAGTGACAATGTTAAATTCTGCTGCATACAGTATGGCATTTGCTCCCCTGGAGGAATAGAAACCATGACTCGCAGTAGCACCGCGAAGTAAGCAGAGGCAGGAGAAGAAAGGGGTGAGAGAGAGGGAGATACCAAAGACATGTAGCTTCAGACCCTGAGATAAACACACACCCACCTCAGTCTGCTGCTGATTCCTGACGCAGTGAGCACAACTGGGGAGTAAATGCAGAATACAGTAGTAGCTATGATGGAGGACCAGCAGTCATCCAAGAGTGAGCAGAGAGAGGAAGAATGATACAAGACTGGTGAATGTTAGGTCCTGTGTGACTACGAGTGTGCGTCTGAGTGAGAGGAGCATCTATGTCAGACATGAGAAAGACAGAAATGCAGGAAAGAAAGAAGAAAAAGTGACAAGAGACGGCCTGAACAGGGACGTGAAACAAGCAGAAAGAAAGAGACGGGAGAGAAGAGACAGAATAAATGTGTGAGCTTGGAGAGTCACTGAGCAGAGCAGATGCATTAAAGGAAATGCCCCTCCCTCTTTCCGCCACACAAACACACACACACCTCCCTTTGCACTGTCAGCATTCGAGTAAGCATGTATTCAATTAATCAGAGTAAGCTGTTAACTGTGTGAAACGTAGAGTGGACCAGAAGTATGTGTTCATTTTAAATTCAATGACAAGACACTCCTTTCTTGCACTGTTGGATTTGTGGTTTCCATTGAAAGTGGCTCAAAGTTGATTGGCTGCATAGCAAGTGGACACGTCCCAAAGCTCTATGCAAACACTCATAAATCCTATTCCCCATTATGGCAAAAGGTAAAACTACACTGCACAGTATGTCATCTCTATGCACCCAAAGACATCTGTCAAGATCTGGTTCTTAGTCTCACCATGTTGCGGTGTCTTTGAGCATGGCATACAATCCCTACCAGGTCTGCTTACTGGCAGTGCACTCTCACCTTCACATGAAGGGGGTCAAGCGAGAGGATTACATCCATACGAAAATCAATAATGTGTTACATAATACATACTACTGTAGATGCATGGATAAATGCATATGCTGCCCTATTTAAATTTTCTGAAATAGCCTATAGGTTTCATTTTTAAAAAGGTGAAATTCAAGATGGTAATCGTATTGCCATCATCAATTCCCATCTTCAATTTAAAAGTTCTACGACTTTAAAACTGACCCGAATTAGCTTATAACTAGGGATGTCCCGATCACCTTTTTTTGCTCCCGATCCGATTCCGATCATTTGATTTTGACAATCTGCCGATACCGATTTTTCCTGATCCGATCTTTATGCAATGCATTAAGAGAAAAAAAAGGAGAAAAGCATTCAAGTTGTCCCTTAAACCTCACGTTCTCCACCACAGATAACGGCTGGTCATCCAACGCGATGAATTCAGCTATCTTGGCTGTTATTTTTTTGGCCTTTTCACTGTTCTGGGGCAGTTTCTCTTTCCTTTTAAAAGTCTCTGAAAGTGTTGGTTGTTTCAGTGCCGTTACCTGAGTGGCCGCTGTGTACTCGTTGTGTTGTTGTTGGTGTTTGTTTCTCAGGTGGCGTATTAGATTGGTCGTGTTGAACGTAGCTCTGTTCTTTCCACCACGCGGAACCTCCGCCTTGCAAACATTGCATCTGGCTGTTACACTGCCTTCGCTTTCAATTTTATAATACTTCCAAACTCCTGACATTTTCTCTGTCCCGAGTCACCAGCTGAACGTAGCCTCTCGTTAGCTTACTGCTACTATTAGACACTGCGCCCTGCCCACTCTGTTGCTAGATTTGAGAGAAATAAGCAACCAGGTCTTTGAAAACAAGCCCAAAAGAAGCAACACATACATGATGTTGTGTAATTTTAAACCAAAACTAAGGCCTCAGGATGACTTTAAGACGTGAACATGGTCATTTTTGTTTTGTAACATTAAATAAAATAAGAAAAATATTTTATTAAAAAAAAAAAAAAAAAAAAAAAAAAAATTCCGATCCCCGATTTTTTTCTCCCGATTCCGATCTTTTGAAAATCACGTGATCGGCTCCGATCCCCGATCACGTGATCGGATCGGGACATCTCTACTTATAACAGTTAAATGTATTGCTACCACAAATCATTTGGCTATGAAACCACTAGGATAGATTTATGTCACCTTACTGCACTTACTGCTATTGAAAAGGTTGACGATAAGTGCAGGAAGGTTAAGATTCATTCAAATTGGGTATTTGTATTGCTTCGCTTTCGAGGAATACAGCCCAAGTTGCATCTTATGTCTGTGACTATATAGACATATATATTCTGCAGTAGCAGTATCAGCAATGAGTTGGCTTAGAGTAATGATTTGGCAAGAGAATTAACAGGTGTAGCACAGACAGGTTGAACTTAAATTTTTAGACTGTCAGCCAAGAACACTATAGTTTATCACAAATCATGCCGTACTGGAAATAAGATTGGGCTTTTTGCCAACATTTGTATCAAAGTTGTTTGATTTTGAATTGAATTACATGATGGTAATGAAAGATGAAACATTTTGCAGTCTATGCCTAGTTTGTGGCAAGTGATTTCAAAGAATTTCTACTTCCAATAAATTATATTCTTAGAGGTTATCTCTCTCTCTTTGGTTTGTTATCAGTGTGGTGGTGTTTGGATCAGTTTCCTTCAGATCTGTATGGATGGATTTGCCTCACCCTTTGAGCGTGTGTTTGAGTGTGTGTGTGTATTTTGTCCAAAGCCTAGGGGGACAGCTACAGCTTCACTGTTGCGCACCACTGTCCCTGGCCTTTCTCTGTGAGCTCAAGCTCAGACACGGCATCTCCAACTTCTGCTTCCTGCCAGACTACAGCTCCACAGCTCGTTCCTCTCCAATCATGACACCAAACATGGCGGTGCGTCTGCCAGTCAGTCTGATGGGGCCATGGCAAGAGCTCTTATCAAATATGTTATTTTGTAATTAATTAGGTGACTTATTTTTCACCATCTGTAAAAAGGGGCCAACATGTATTAAAAAAATGCACATAACTATACCAACAACTGTTTCCGTAATTCCAAACACAACCCTAAACCCACTCCCAAACATAGCCTTCCAATATGCCCTACAAATGACTCTATGTTTATGCTGGATGGCGGGAGGGTTAGCTCTCTGGTACGTAATGGCGCGTTTCCACTACAGCGCGCAGCCCGGTTTAAGAGGGCTGTGACGTCAGCGGCCCGTCTTTGGTTGCGTTTCCACTTGGCCTAGTACCGGCCGGCGGGTCCTAATTCACAGTTTTTCTGGCCTCATAAAATCGTGGGTCCAGGGCCAGAGACAACGAGGCTGAGTTGGGCTGAGTATGCTAAACTAGAGAGAGCGTCGCTGGCAAGGGGGCTACAACTACAACAAGATGGACATATTTGACCGTGATTTAATTGTAATACACGTTTCAAAATGATGCCGAAGTAACAACATACTGATACCGGTTAGTAAAAACCATGAATTAATGCTTTGTCAAGTCTGCAGACAGACGGCAGGCGAAAAACCTTTTAAAATGCTTGTTTTCTAAATGGAGATTGGCTAAGCTAACGCAGTATATGCTCCGACCGTCCACACTCACAACGGCCTATACAGACATAAATAAAGCAGCGACTGTATTCACCATGACACAGGCAGTCTGTGGTGTGTACTTGTTTAACTTTTGTCTAGTTTCTGAACATATATGAGGAGCTGTGAGCTCTGAGTGCTAACAGCTAACGGCTGTGTTGTTTTTCTGGGGTCCTCTGAAGATCACGTCACGGCTCCGCCTACACTGCGTTACTATAGATACTGCCCCAGTTCCTAAACTGTAATGGAAATGCGCCATAAAGTGAGCCAGTCCTAACGAGGCCCAGCCATACCGAGCGGGGCCGAGCGAGGCCGTGTAGTGGAAACGCGCCATAAGCCTAATGCAAGGACTGTATATTGTGCATGAAACTTTGGAGCTTTGCCAGACAGCTGCATAAGGGAACAGTGTTTCTCCTGCGATCATGCCAGGTGCATCAGTGTTTGCCCTCCTCAACACCATCTGGCAAAATTCAGAAACATCCAAGCCATTTAAGTTAACCAGTGGCGAGCCGTCAGGGCCCTCTCTGAGGGCCTAAGATATTCTACAAAATAATATTTAAACACATTAATAAATAAAAAAAACTTTGAATGTGAAGGGTTAAATGAAAGAAGCTCCTTGAGCCGTCTCCGCGAGTCGCTGTGAAGACAAGAGCTGATTCACAGAGGGCCCGTAACTGAACGAGAGAGTAATGTCAAATGACAGTACAATTGACCAATCATATCTTCCCTCTAAATGGGTGGGCTTTATTATCGTGGACTTTATGACAAGTTCCGCCTGCTGTGAAGCTTTTCTTGTTTCCATAACAACAACAACTTCCTGTAAACTCGCCTTCAAAATAAAAGCATGCCAAATTACACTTAAAGGTCCCATGTCATGGCCATTACTACTGATCATAATTCCATTGTTGAGGTATACTAAAATAGAGTCACTGTACACAGGAAGAAAAAGAGAAATCTCCAACGAGGCGTTCTGGGGCAGCATAGACAGGTATTTTCTGTGTTAGAGTTTTACTCGCTACAGGGTGTACTTTGAGGGTTTGTGACTCTGCAGACCGTTTACATGCAGAAAAACCTTCATAACACACAAGGGGACGGGTAATAACCGGAAAAGCATGACACCTTTAAGACATATATATATATATATATATATATATATATATATATATATATATATATATATATACTGCAACGAAAGTAACAAACATAATGCAATATCCTTTTCAATTTCATTTTGTGTGGTAGAGGGTCATTGATGCGTTTTGCACCCCGGGCCGTTGTTTTGATATTCCGCTGAAGTATACGCTGTGACATAACTCTTTTTTTTTTTTCGAGGGAAGGGGGTGGGGGGGTCAGAGGGCCTAGGTATAAAAGTCACGGCTCGCCACTGAAGTGAACCCATAGCTTCCTGTTGCTATGGACAAATATCGTATGAGGCCCCAAAAACATACCAAAATGTAATTTCACAACAATGTGTGTCAATCTCTGATCAAGGTCATGGTGTGTTCAGAAGGATAATAAACACTATCTGAAATGGCACGGGCCAACCTGCAGCATCCCGGGGCAGATGAAGGTATCAGAGCTATAAAAAGCCTGAGCCATTTCAGATACTTTGTTAAATGTAGCATACCTGTATTTCAATTAAAGAGATCTACTGACAGCAAGAATCAAAGTGCCACAGAAATTAACGCTATCCAAGCTTTTGATAACAATTATTTAACTGTTGCTTGCCCTCTACTCTATTTTGAGTAATGTTTCATCAAACTAGATTTGATCTACTAGTTTAAGTACTACGTTAGTTGTATAGGTTTTCACTATACTGCATAGTCTGCCATATCAACAGATAAATCAGGGAAGGAAGGAGTTGTGCTGTGATTGCCTTGCAATGTCTTACAGAAATGTGCAACTTCGG